AGAGCCTCATGCTGGGAAAGATTGAGGGCAAAACAAGACGGGGATGGCAGAGAATGAGGTGGCTGGATGGAGTCACCGAAACAGTTGGTGTGAGCTTAAATGGACTCCAGAGGATGGTAGAGGACAGGAAGGCCTGGAGGAACATTGTCCATGGGGTCACAATGGGTAGGACACAACAAATGCAGATGTTGTGATTGGGTGCCTAAAGTGACTGACTTGTGTCCAAGGGAGACTTCAGGGGTCCCAGAGAACAGACTAAAGATGCTGGGATGCCCATATTTCTTCATGGGGTCTCTGGGGAAAGCATACATTCTTCCTGAGGGTGAAAGGAAACACTGTTTTATTTTTAAGTTTTAGATCTTCCCCCTGCTTTCCTCTATTCTGGAAAAGCAGGGCAGTTTAGCTGGGAATAGTGTCTTCAGAACCACCCTGTAGTAGGTGGTAGGAAGTAAGAATAGGACGCTGTGGTTGGGAAACTGGCATTTCCTGTATGATCGATTGTGTTTTTTCATTTAATAAAAGAGAATTAGGGAAAACAGCCAAGTGTACCATATATAAAATTATGTGGAAGTGATGACATGGCCTTTCCACAAAAATCTAAGATCTGTTTCAAGGAGCAAGCTGTTATTTCTTCTTATGGGTCAAACAAATTTCACAGATTTCACAGAGTTGGAAGGGTCCTTGTAGGTCATCTAGTCCAACCCACCCACCCACCCCGCTCAACCAGGAGACCCTACACCATTTCTGACAGATGACAGTCCAATCTCTTCTTGAAAGCTTCCGGTGATGAAGCTCCCACAACTTCTGAAGGCAACTTCTGTTCCATTGGTTGATTGGGTCTTTTCTCTTTGTGTTGGATTTTGGTTAGACCAGTGTTTCTCAACTGCAGCAATTTGAAGACGTGTGGACTTCAATTCCCTGTGCTGCCTGGGAAATTAAGGGGGTTGAAATCCACAAATCTTCTAGTTGCTGAAGTTAAAAAATACTGGATTAGACAGTTCCCCAGAGATATAACCCCTTCAAGCAGAAGGCTATACAATCAGGAACCCTATCACCCAAGCTGGGTAGAAAATGAGTTCAGATAAAACAGAAAGCAAAAACGTGTAGAATCACTGGGTTAAAAATTGTTTTTACTATGACATTTTTTTTCAATACAATAAAACAATGTTGTATCAGATGCTTGACAGCCTTGGAAGTTTTTTTTTTAAACATATCATGTGCTGAAGTCCAGAGCTGATGGCTGCCTACATGTTATATTTCCCCAGGATTGAACACAACATGATTGAGAAATTTTAATTTCTATTAATTCACCAGCTGCATGCCTAAGTTATGGCATCAAATGCCAGCTTGAAAGTCCGGCAGTGATGGGTTTCAAAAAANGGCTGAAGGAATCCTCCCAGGTTCCATGTGGTGAGATCCTACCTTTGTTATGTAGAATAGACTCATCCAAGCCTTAATGGCTCATTGAGAAAGCGAAGGAGAGGGGGAGCTGAATTTCTGCCTCCCTTTTAGAGGAAATATTCTGACCTTTTAATATTTCCCAGAATATTTAATTTTCTAGGAGAGGGGGTGGGCTTTAACTTCCTACAATAGGTATAAGAATAAACATGAATATGAATGAAATGGGGACGAATAAGTGGGGACAGTAGGACAGGGATGGCAGACAGGATGGTGCGCTTATGCACGCCCCTTACAGACCTCTTAGGAGTGTGATGAGGTCAATAGTAGGCAGTTTAAGGTTAAAGTAATGGGGTGGCGTTTCCCCACCCCCACCCCCTTCCTCAAATAGCACGCTGACTGGAATTTGCACAAGGTTCCCCATCCCCAAACCACAGCTGGAGAATATTAAATTAAATCAAGGTAATGCACACTAAAAAGCAGAGACATACCCCTGCGAACAAAAGTGTGCATAGTCAAAGCTCTGGTTTTCCCAGTTGCAATATATGGCTATGAAAGTTGGACCATAGGAAAGGCATAGTGCCAAAGAATGGAGGCCTTTGAACTCTGGTGCTGGAGAAGACTCCTCCGAGTCCCTTGGGATGCATGGTGATCAAACCTGTCAGTCCTAGAGGAGATCAACTCTGACTGCTCTTTAGGAGGCCAGATCCTGAAGAGGAAACTCAAATACTTTGGCCACCTAACGAGAAGGACTCACTGGAGAAGAGCCCAATGCTGGGGACGATGGAGGGCAAAACAAGAAGGGGACGACAGAGAAGGAGGTGGCTGGATGGAGTCACTGAAGCAGTCGGCGTGAGCTTAAATGGACTCCAGAGGATGATAGATGACAGGAAGGCCTGGAGGAACGTTGTCCATGGGGTCGCGATGGGTCGGACATGACTTCGCAACCAACAACAACAGCTTTGCTTTTGAGGTTTTGCTCAACCAAGATGAGAACCTTTTTTTTTTTAAAAAGAAACTATTCTTCCCAAAGAAATGACAGCTGAATTTGATCCAACTCTTGGTTGAAGATAAAGAGAACCTCAATCTTTGCATTTGTAGAAAAGACCTAGAAACAAGATCTAAATGAGGTAAACAGC